TTTTTGCTGGTTATTTTGGAGATGGAGCCTCTCCCTGTCTGTCTCTGTCTCTGTCTTTCTCTTTCTTTCTCTCTTTTGTGCCAGTCCTAGCACTTGAACTCAGGACCTGGGTGCTGTCCTAGAGGTCTTTTTTTTTGTTTTTTGTTTTAGTTTATTGGAAATAAAAGTCTCAGGAACTTTCCTGCCCCCTACCCAGGTTGGTTTTGAGCTGTCATCTTCAGACCTTAACTTCCTGAGAAACTAGGATTACAGGTGTAAATTATTAGTGCCTGGTAATGCTGACATTCCCTCCCCTCTCCCTGCCCCCCACTGCAGTCCTGGGGCTTGAACTCAGGGTCTGGGCACTGTCTCTGAGCTTCTTTTGCTCAAGGCTAGCACTCTACCACTTGAGCCACAATGCCATTTCTGGCTTTTTCTGTGTACTGAATAATTGAACCCAGGGCTTCATGCATGCTAGGCAAGCACTCTTCCACTAGGCCACATTCCCAGCCCAAAGCTGACAGTTTTGTGAGATTATTCTGCCTTTGCTGGGTTTGCTTCTTTGCCAGAAGAGTTAAAATATAGAGATATTAATAGTCAAAGAATGCTTAAAAAAATTTTTTTTTTTGTCATTCGTGGGACCTGAACTCTGGGTCTGGGCGCTGCCCTTCATCTCTTCAGCTCAAGGCTAGCACTCTACCATTGAGCCACAGTGCCACCTCCGCCTTTTTCTGCTTATGTGGTGCTGAGGAATGGAACCCAGGGCCTCATGCGTGCAAGGCAAGCACTGTACCACTGAGCTACTTTCCCAGCCCCCAAAGAATGCTTCTTCACTTATGATTCCAGTTTCTTTGTAACTCTACTCCATTCATTTCTCCTAAGCTGCTTTGTGCTTATGTTTTCCTGCTTCTGTTTGCTAGTAGATTGTGAACTCCTAGAGATCAGGTAAGGAGTCTCATCCCTGTGGCTCATAGTGCCTAAACTAGTACCTTAGAGTACTTAGGTACGCCCTAAATATTTTGTAGTATTTCAATGATGTTAAGAGACATTTTAGTTTCTTCTTCCTCTTCCTCCTGTTCCTACTCCTCTTCCTCCTCTTCTTATTTGGTAGTACTAGAGGTTTGCACTCAGGTCTTGCCCTTTCTAGGCTGGTGCTGTACTGGTGAGGCACACACCTCTAGCTCTGCTTTTTGCTGTTCTCTTTGCTGCTTTTGGGGAGATAGAGTCTAGCAAACTTTTTGGCCTGGGCTGACTTTGAACTAGGATCCTCCAGATCACAGCCTCCTGAGTAACTAGGATTACAGTTAGGATTACATTGGTGCCTGGCTTAATTCTCCACTTGTACTTGTGAAGAAACTAAGAAGCACAGTGACCCTAGTCAGTGTTCCCAGTTGGCTGTGTTCTAGTAGTAGTTCTGCTGGTTGGTTGTTACATTGTGCCGTGTAGCTCCATTGTTGGAGTTGCTCTGGTTCTCTACAATGGGAAAACGTTATAAAAGAGGACAAAACAGGGAGATAATAAAAACAGGTGGTACTCTTATTACTAATGTGCTCTAACTGACTATTCTACCAACAGATGTTTTACTTGGAAATTTTGGAGTATAGACTTACTAGGACCCAAAGAAAACTTTTGTTAATTCTGTACTTTTCCTAGTTTAAGACCCCAGAAACTCTTGTTTGCTGTGTTTCATGAGGAGGAGTGCTGGCTGGAGGAGACTTTGTGTTGTCAGTTTCTAGCCACATTTTAGCAGGCTTGGGTGGTAAATTCCAGTTGCTAGTGATAATGACAGAGAGTAATGGGTAAGGCATTTGGCTGAAATTCCCCCTGTCCTAAATGGAAGAAGAGTGATGAAAACAACTCAATTTCTTAGGAAATTTGGTACTTTGGATTGGATTTTTTTTCTTTTCTCCTATTCTCTTTTTCTTATTAGAAAATATTGATTCTGATACAGAGTAAGTTTATTAGATTTGGGGTGGATATTGATTAGCTGTAACCCATTTATAAATTCTCAGAGAGGGATATTTGTAAACATGTGCTTTTCACATCTAGGAACTCTGTGGCCCTGATGTTCTGGTTAATCAACTTGTTGAGGCTGAGTACATGCAGAATCTATATCCACTAAACTTAGAATTTTATTGCTTTTGATTTATTTTAATAGGATCTCCTTGATTTCCAATTTATTTTCCCTGGATGAGGACATTTTCTTCTTGAAAACATATTTAAAAGACACAGGAATGTTTTGAACAGGAGATGCATTTCATGCTTTGAGGCAAAGCTTTAATTGATATAATTAAATTGTTTTAAAAGAACTTTCCTTTTTTTATTTTGGTAGTACTGGAGTTTTGAACTCAAGGACTTGTGTTCTATCATTCGAGCCACACCCCTGCATTTGAGTCTTTTTTTTGGCCAGTCCTGGGGCTTGAACTCAGGGACTGGACAACATCCAGAGTTTCGTTTGCTTAATTCTAGCACTCTACCATGTGCGCCACAGTGCCCCTTCTGGCCTTTTCTGTTTATTTATTTTTTATATTTTGGGTCCAGTTGTGGGGCCTGAATTCTGGGCCTGGGCACTGTCCCTCAGCTCTTCAGCTCAAGGCTAGCACTCTACCACTTGAGCCACAGCATCACTTCCGGCTTTTTTCTTTTTGCTTTATGTGGTGCTGAGGAATCGAACCCAGGGCCTTAGGCATGCAAGGCAAGCACTCTACCACTGAGCCACCTTCCCAGCCCCTGGCCTTTTCTGTTTATGTGGTACCGAGGAATAGAACCCAGGGCTTAATGCATGCTAGGCAAGCACTCTACCACTAAGCCACATTCCCAGCCCTTTATTGTTCTATTTTCTTTTCTTTTTCTTTCTTTCTTTCTTTTTTTTTCCGGATGTGGGGCTTGAATTCTGGGCCTGGGCACTGTTCCTGAGCTCTTCAGCTCAAAGCTAGTGCTCTACCTGAAAGGAAAAATGTAACCCAGGCAGAAAGTAACCTAAAAGAAAGTAACCCAAAAGACCACACAGACAGAAGTCAAGTAGAAGAAAAGATTTATTGCCAGCAGAGCTGACAAGGCCAAATTCTCATGAGGAAAGGGAGAAAATGGCACTGTCTGGCTCCTTGGAGGTCCCTTTTATATAGTCGGGGCCAGGAAATGGGAGTTGCCTCACCTACTGTACTGGGCTGCCATCAAGAGAGGAGATTAGGTCTGTGAGGTGGGTGTTTCCTTACACTACCACTTGAGCCATAGCACCATTTCCAGTTTTCTGGTGGTTTATTAGAGATAAGAGTCTCATGGACTTTTCTGCCCAGACTGGCTTTGAACCATGATCCTCAAATCTTAGCCTCCTTAGAAGCTAGGATTACAGGTATGAGCCACTGGTGCCTGGCTTATTCTGTTTTCATTATGAGTTTACTAGAGATGAGAGTCTCATGGACTTTCCTGGTCAGGCTGACTTTGAACTATGATGCTCACAGCTAGGATTACAGGCATGAGCCACTAGTGCCTGGCATAATTGTAATTTTAAAAGCATGGATTAATTATACCAAGGGGTTTCAGCATGGTATTTCAAACATGCATGTATTATATTTTCTCAGGATAACCATTTCTATTGGCCTTTCATCTCCTGCCCCTATCCTCTGTTGATGAATAGCTTACATTGAGGCTCTTTGTGCTGTCTACACACATAGTTAATCTCTCTATATATATGTGTGTATATATGTGTGTGTGTGTGTGTATATATATATATATATATTTTTTTTTTTTTTTTTTTGCCGGTTGTGGGGCCTGAACTCTGGGCCTGGGCACTGTCCCTCAGCTCTTCAGCTCAAGGCTAGTGCCCTACCACTTGAGCCACAGCACCACTTCCGGCTTTTTCTGCTTATGTGGTGCTGAGGAATCGAACCTAGGGCCTCATGCATGCAAGGCAAGCACTCTACCACTGAGCCACCTTCCCAGCCCAGTTGTACTATATTTTAAAATTACTCATCCTCTATCTTTTTCCTTCATCCCCTCTCATTCTCTTACAGAGTCTCACAGAATTATGTGGAATATATTGAAGTTTGATCTTCAACATTGTTAGAAATATATACAATTAAATTTGAAAGTAGTATAATACTCAGATTTTTTTAAACCTGATTTAATTTTTGGCCTCTGCTATTTTATGCCTTGAGTCTTCTTCCAGAGGAATTTTCTGAAGACAGTCAAGTGCAGTGTGATTTATGAGGCAGTGAAGGCCAAGTACTTTGCAGTGATGAGGACCTCCTTTCTTCAGGGAAATCGATGGAGCACATCAGTCTACAGCACACTTCCTGCCTTAATGGTCCTAAGCTAGATCAATATTTGAACTTCAACTTTGCCATCAGTCTGTGGGCTGTGTATGCTTTGCAGCCTTATTTCTATCATCCTTAGATTTATAGCCAGATCTATTATAGATTGAGCTAGTTACACTTTCCTGTTTGGTTTTAGATCTGCTTTAAGCCCTGTCCACTGGCACATTTTAAGGATGTAAAATGTGTTGTGCTGTAGGCCATGCAATATTTTAAACTTTGACATTACCTGGTCTAGGGTGGGGTATTAGGTAGCTAGCTATACACGATCTGTAGCATGGTTGTTAATAATTTTTTTTTCCTGAAAAATTTCCCATTGCAATTTCAATAGACTTTCTGGCATCCTGGAGCACATTCTGGTACTGATTGTGGCTTTCTTTTTCTTCTTAAAATATTTATTTTTTTGAGCATTTTAAGTTCACAGCACAATTGAGACGATGGTGCACAGACAATCCATTTGTTCCTAGTCACTATATATTGACTATTTCTCCCATTAATAATATCCCTCACAAGTGTGATGTTTGTTATAGTTGATGAACCCTTATTTAATTATATATCATTAACATATCATATCCACATTTTACATCAGTGTACTGTTGATGTTGTATGGTTTATGGGTTTGGATAATGCATCTTAACATATATACACTGTATACTGTCATAGAGATTATTTTTACTACTCTAAAATGTGGCTCCCCCACCTCCTCAGGTTCTTTAACCATGGCACAAGTAGAAAAACGGGGAGGTTTGCTCCGGAAATCCTCAGCCTCCAAAAAACCACTAAAGGAAAAAGTGGTACTGATGTATGATGAGATCTTCATGGTAAGTCCTGTTGCTCTATCGTACTGCACAGCTTGACTCCTTAATTATTCAGTGTAAAATAAGAAATAACCTTACCACTGACTGCTACCTTTAAAGGGGATTATAGGAGCGCAGAGAGAGGGAGGAAGCTCAAGGACAGGGTAATTTCTTATGGTAGGGATTTTGATTATGTATTAATTATTGTAATTGGTATTATGTTCTTACATGTTTTTTCCATAAATTGGATAAAACAATTGAAAGGAGGAAGGAAGGCTGAGGAATTTTTTCCCCCAAATATCTTTAAGAAAGTCTTAGCTGAGGGTTGGGAATGTGGCTTAGTGGTGGAGTACTTGGCTAGTGTGCATGAAGCCCTGGGTAGAGTGCTAGGCTTGAGTAAAAGAAGCTCAGGGACAGTGTCCAGGCCTTGAGTTCAAACCCCATGACTGGCAAAAGAAAAAAAAGAAAAAAAAAAGAGAAAGTCTTAGCTGTGTAGGTGGCTCATGCCTATGATCCTAGTTACTCAGAAGGCTGAGATCATGATTTGAAGCCAGCCTGGACAGAAAAGTCTGTGAGACTATCTCTAATTCACTAGTGAAAAGCTGGAAGTAGAGATGTGGCATAAGTGGTAGAATACCAGCCTTGATTAAAAAATGTAAGGGAGCCAGGCGCTTGTAGCTCATGCCTGTAATCCTAGTTACTCAGGAGGCTGAGATCTGAGGATTATGGTTCAAAGCCAGCCTGGGCAGAAAAGTCTGTGAGACTCTTATCTCCAATTAACCACTAGAAAATCAGAAGTGGTGCTGTGGCTCAAGCAGTAGAGTGCTTGCCTTGAGCTGAAGAGTGCAGGGACAGCCCCCAGGCCCAGAGTTCAAGCCCCACAACACAGACACACACACACAGACACACACACAGACACACACACACACACAGACACACACACACACACACACACACGTAAGGGACAGGGCCCTCTCCACCCCCCCCACAAGTAAGGGACAGGGCCCAGGTCCTGACTTCAGGCCCCACTACTGGAATCAAAAGAGATAAAAATGTCTTTTTTTTTTATTATCTGCCTTAAAGATGCTTTTATCTTTATAAATTTTTGTTGGCGTTCAAATTATACAATTCAGATATTTTAAAAAGATACATTTTACATTCTACCTCAGGTTGTTAATGGACAGAACCCTTGTTTAGACTATCTTGTACTCTAGCTACATAGGATAACAGAATTATTAGCAATTGAATTTCTTTCAATCTTCAGAACTGTTAATTGACATGGTCCAAGTTTATATTGTAAAATATATTCTATGAAGGAAGGCTAGACTTACTAGAAACCCTTCAGGAGTACTGGCCCTTTGAAATTCTGGTCACTGTAACACATTTAAACTATTTACTTATAGTATTATATGTATTACCGGTATTTGTGTAGTTGCACATATAAATGTGTATGCTTATAAAGAATGACCATATGTTGAATTTCTTTTCTTTCTTGTACTGGGATTTGAACTAAGGGTTTGAATTTTGTGCTTGCTAGTTGGGTGTTCTATTGCTTAAGCCATGCTTCCAGCCTTTTTTCATTTTGCTGTTATTTTTTCTCCATTTAATGACTAATTAATTTTTCCTTTTTTTTTTAAATTGCTGGGATCCAGTGGCTCACACCCATAATCCTAGCTACTCAGAAAGCTGAGATCTGAGGATTGTGGTTTAAAGCCAGCTCTGGCAGGAAAGTCTGTCAGATTCTCATCTCCATTTAACTACCAAAAAACCAGAAATGATGCTGTGGTTCAAAGTGGTAGAGCACTGAGCACAAAAGTTCAGGGACAAGCCGGGCGCTGGTGGCTCACGCCTGTAATCCTAGCTACTCAGGAGGCTGAAATCTGAGGATCACGGTTCAAAGCCAGCTCGGGCAGGAGAGACCGTGAGACTCCTATCTCCAATAAACCCAGAAAACTGGAAGTGGCGCTGTAGCTCAAGTGGTAGAGCGCTTGCCTTGAGCTGAAGAGCTGAGGGACAGCGCCCAGGCCCAGAGTTCAAGCCCCACGACCAACAAACAAACAAAAAAAGTTCAGGGACAGTGCCAGGCCCCAGAACTAGCACACACAAAAACGTCTTTAAATAGTTGTAGAATTCAATTCAGCATGTCACTTTATGAGTACAAATGTATTGTGATCAGTGTTGCTCTGTTTTTTTTTTTTTTTTTTTGGGTCCGGTAGTGGGCCTGAACTCTGGGCCTGGGCGCTGTCCCTCAGCTCTTCAGTTCAAGGCTAGCACTCTACCACCTGAGCCACAGCACCACTTCTGGCTTTTTTCTTTTTGCTTATGTGGTGCTGGGGAATCGAACCCAGGGCCTCATACATGCAAGACAAGCGTTCTACCACTGAGCCACCTTCCCAGCCCCTTTTTTTAATTTTTAATTTTTGCTCAAGGCTAACACTCCACCACTAGAGCCACAGCTCCACTTTGGGGTATATGGTGCTTAATTAGAGATAACAGTCTCATGGACTTCCTGCTTGGGCTGCCTTTGAACTTCGATCCTCAGATCTCAGCTTCCTGAGTAGCCAGGATCCATGAGCCACCTGCACCTGGCTGCTCTGTTTTTTATTTTTATTTTTTTGCTGCTCGTGGGGCCTGAACTCTGGGCCTGGACACTGTCCCTCACTTCTTCAACTCAAGGCTAGCACCCTACCACTTGAGCCACAGCACCACTTCCAGCTTTTTCAGCTTATGTGGTGTTGAGGAATCGAGCCCAGGGCCTCATGCATGCAAGGCAAGCACTCTACCACTTAGCTACCTTCCCAGCCCTGCTCTGGTTATTTTTGAGATAGGTCCTCATTTTTTGTTCAGGCTTCATGGACTATGATCCTCCTATTTACCCTTCCTGCTATAGGTGGAATGACAAATGTGCACCACTACACTCAGCTATTGGTTGAGATGAAGTCTCACGAACTTTGCCAGGATTGTCTTTGAGCCTTGATCTTTCTGACTTCCTCTGCCTCCAGAGTAGATAGGATTACAGATGTGAGCCACAGGTGCCCAGCAACTAAGTATATTATTCTTTCTTATCTATGTTCCTGTGTATATATGTATTTGCATTTATGTAAGTATCTATGTATATATCTATGTCTGTCTGTCTATCTATCTATCTCTATCTGTCTGTCTGTCTGTCTGTCTGTCTATCCATCCATCCATCTATCTACTATCTTTCTTTTTTTCTGTTGGTCATGGGGCTTGAACTCTGGGCCTGGGCGCTGTCCCTCAGCTCTTCAGCTCAAGGCAAGCGCTCTACCACTTGAGCTACAGCGCCACTTCCGGTTTTCTGGTGGTTTATTGGAGATAGGAGTCTCACGTTCTCTCCTGCCCGGGCTGGCTTTGAATCTTGATCCTCAGATTTCAGCCTCCTGAGTAGCTAGGATTACAGGCATGAGCCACCAGCGCCCGGCTTATCTACTATCTTTCTATATCTATCTATTATCTATCTATCTATCTATCTGTCTGTCTGTCTGTCTGTCTGTCTATCCATCCATCCATCTATCACTATCTTTCTTTTTTTCTGTTGGTCATGGGGCTTGAACTCTGGGCCTGGGCGCTGTCCCTCAGCTCTTCAGCTCAAGGCAAGCGCTCTACCACTTGAGCTACAGCGCCACTTCCGGTTTTCTGGTGGTTTATTGGAGATAGGAGTCTCACGTTCTCTCCTGCCCGGGCTGGCTTTGAATCTTGATCCTCAGATTTCAGCCTCCTGAGTAGCTAGGATTACAGGCATGAGCCACCAGCGCCCGGCTTATCTACTATCTTTCTATATCTATCTATTATCTATCTATCTATCTATCTGTCTGTCTGTCTGTCTGTCTATCTGGTTCTGAGGCTTGAACTCAGGGCCTTAGACTTTTGCTTGGCTTTTTTGTCTACTTGCAGCTGGTTAATTTAAGATAAGAGTCTCATACACACTTTTCTGTCCCGGCTGGCTTCAGTCTTTGATCTTCAGATCTCAGCCTCTTGTAGTTAAGATTACAGGTATGAGCAATTAGTGCCCAGTAAATGCATACTATTGTTAAGCCTTTTTACTTGGAAAGTTGAACATGCTTATCTTCTGGTTTCAGACAGAGGATCCAAGTAAGTGCAGTCCTCGGTTTTGGGAGGAACTCTTTCTCATGAAGGTAAGACTGGATGGCATTATGTGGGCTTTCCTAATAACTAAGACTGCCATATGTTCTATACTAAATTTGTGCTCATGGGCTGGGAAGGTGGCTCAGTGGTAGAGTGCTTGCCTTGCATGCATGAGGCCCTGGGTTCGATTCCTCAGCACCACATAAGCAAAAAGAAAAAAACCGGAAGTGGTGCTGTGGTTCAAGTGGTAGAGCGCTAGCCTTGAGCTGAAAAGCTGAGGAACAGTGCCCAGGCCCAGAGTTCAGGCCCACGACCGGACCCCCCCCCCAAAAAAAATTGTGCTCAGGCCATTATTATTTCCTTGACAGGTGAATTTAGATTATCTAGAAGGCAAGCTGGAATCACTTGATGGTGAGGAATTAATGAAGATCAAGGATAATATTAATAGTTTGTTTCAACACTGCATCCAGGCTTTGGGAGAGGAGCATCCAATTCGAGTTGTCAATGCATTGCAGGTACAGGGCTGAGGGACTGGGAAGCATTTATTTAATAGAAGAAATGAATCATAAACCATATATTGGAACCTGAGGAACCTAGAATTGTCTTTGGATATGGGCATTTCTTTCTTTCTTTCTTTTTTTTTCTTTCTTTCTTGTCGGTTGTGGGGCTTGAACTCTGGGCTTGGGCACTACCCCTGTGCTCTTCAGCTCAAGAGGAACGCTCTACCTCTTGAGCCACAGCACTACTTCCAGTTTTTTTTTTTTTTTTT